GCCTCAGTTTACCACCTGTGTAGTGGGGGTGGGTTGGCCTCGATATCTCTCCAGGGGACCCCCCACAGGAAAGAGGTGATCAGCTGAGTGGGGCAGGTCTGGGAGGGGCCTGGGTGGCCTTGGGACATCTGGTCTCCCGTGTCTCTGCAGTGGCACATAGTCCCTCATCTCAGGGGCACGGACACTCAGGGCCCAGGACTTCTCTGGTGGGATTGGAAATCGCGAGAAGCTCCTGAAATACCCAAAAGTAGGGGGTGGGAATAATACATTGGGAAGCTGTGGGGTGTGGCTGAGTGTGTGGGGTGTGGAGTGGTCTGCCCCACACTGAGCAAGGCCGGCAGGGTCCCTGCTGAGGGCTGCTCGCCCCTGCCTCCCCATCCCTGGGGACGGGCCCCAAGAAGGAGGGCGTAGTCCAGTCTGGGTAGAACCTCCCTGGGCCTGGGGGTGGCGGCAGGGGAGGGCCTCTCTCAGGCCCTGTTGGTCATGAGGCCAGACAGACCTGTGTCACGCCCCCCACAGACTCCTCTGTGAGCGCAGGCAAGCCCCTCTCCTCTCTGACCACCTTGGCACAATGGACCCACAATCACACTGCCCTCTGGGGCTGCTGGGACTATTTGCAGTGGTTTCTGGGGCTGGGGGCCTGGCGCTATCTTGGGTACTGCACGTTTCCAGATGGCTCAGTCTAATCTTCCTTGGTCAGATACTGCTAAGGCATGCCACGGATAACCTCGCTGGACATGCCTGATGACCTGGGAGGTTGGTCTGTTATCCCCATTTCACAGTTGAAGCCATGATGCCCAGAGAGGTTAAGTCATTTCCCTGAGGGCACACAGCCAGGAAGTGGTAGAGTTGCAGTTTGCACTCAGTCTGCCTGGCTCCAGAGTCAGTGCTCATGAGCATTTTGCTAGCTCCCTCTGAGCAGTAACTACAGAATGGCGACTTGTGAGAAGTGACAGAGAGAAGCCAGCTGGGCACAGGGAGAGCCAGTGACGGGGGCTTAGCTGGATAATCAGGAAAGCCTCTCTGAAGAGGCGAAAGGTGAGGGTCATCAGCCGGGATGAGGCACAGGGAAGAGCATTCTGGGCAGAGAGAACAGAGTGTGTGAAGCCGTGAGGCGGGAAAGCAGGTGGTTTACTCCAGGAATGGCGAGGGCTGGTGAGGTGGCGGGGGGTGGGCTGCACTGTCTGTGTCCCTCGGGGCAGTGGCTGGACTCATGTTCCCTGCCTGTGGTGCTGCTGGGAGAAGGGGCCCACTGAGGACACGCCGATGCTGGTGTGGTGCCCGTCTGGGGCCCTGCAGGCTGAGGCTGGCGGGCTTGCTGTGGTTTGCCGGTGGTGGCCCGCGATCCTCCATTTGTTGTGGGGATGGGTGCCTCCATGGGCCTGCACCTCGTCAGCCCTAGGCTGCCTGGCCATCTGGGCCCCGCGCTGACGTCTTCAGTGGACGGTGGCAGCAGCTGGTGGCCTGCGGCCTGTTTCTGGGCCATCTCCATGGTGACCTCAAGCACGGCCTCTGACAGCTGGCCTGGTTGCCCCGTGGAGTCCGTGTCACTCCAGACGCAGGTCTGGTGACCCTGATGGGCAGGTGGGCAAGAAGGCTGGACCGCACTCCCTAGCCCGCCCAGCCCCCGTGCTCACCGCAGCCTCTGGCCCTCCCCAGGCCTGGCAGAGGGGTGGCTGGGAGCCCACCTCTACTGTGAGCCTCGCTCCTCCTCACGTGGTCCTCACCCGCCTGGCACGGAAAGTCCCTTGGCAGATGGGGAAACTAAGGCTTGGTGAGGGGGAGCACGTCTTACGACGTTCCCAAATTCCCAGGCGGGAGCTGGGTATGAGGCCCGAGCCAGAGGACGGTGCACCTGGGCTGAGCGTAGGGAGCCCGAGCAGGTGCTGACCTCTCACAGAAGGTGTTTTCCTTTCTGCTTACAAAAGCATCGAGTCAAGAGTAAAAGCTGCCCGTCACCCCCGCTACCTAGGATGGACCCTCTTACTGCTGCGGAGAGGCAACAGTGACCCTGGCGGCCGTTCATGGGCCAGGATAGGGCCGCCTACCGTGTGCCGCAGCCCACGCCTCGTGCCGGCAGAGGAGACTCCTGCCCGGCGGGCGGGCCTTTCTCCGTGCCCCACGTCACAGATGTGGGACCTGAGGGGCGGAGAGGAGCGTCCGCCGGGCCTCAGCGTGGGCAGAACTGGTGCTCTGTGGCCAGCGGCCTGCACCAGTCTCGGCCGCCAGAGGTTGGCGGTGGCTCCTCAGCCAGGGAGAGCCCAGAAGTGGCCTCGCTTTTCTCAGTGTCCCTCCTTCTGGGGGACATGCTGGCCCCGAGAGCCAGGGAGCGGGGTTCTGTGCCGCCCGAGGCGCCCAGCGTGGCCCGTCGGGGAGAGCACAGGCCTGGCTGGTCCGCGGGTGCTGCTGGCCACTGGCTCTCTGAGTCTGCAGGTCCAGGAGGGACCCAGCTGGCCCCTGGCTCCCTGTGCTGCGACTTCCCCTCGGAGCCTCAGTCTCCCCAGGCAGGGAGAGGCTGAGAGCTCTGCCGCTGCGTCGGAGTGTGTCGCTTTGGTGGGTGAAGGAGCTTCTGGGGAGCCCCGGCCCTGAGGCCTGGCCGCAGGCGTCCCTGTGAAGTGGGCGGAGGCGCAGCGGCGGGGCGTCGTCAGGCAGCTGGGACTCTCCCTGGGCGGGATCGCTGGGCGGCCTGTGCTGCAGCTGCTGCTGTCGTCTGTCTGTGGAAAGTCGTTCCCTGAGGCCTCCAGGTCGGCTGGCGCTGTGCTCCTGCTTTCACAAGGGCTCCACTGCGGGTGCTCTTTCCAGCCCCATTGTAGAGAGGAGGGTACTGAGGCTCAGAAAGGCGTCCAGACTTGCCCAAAGTCACCCAGCCTGTAAGGGGCAAAGGTGGGATTTGAACATGGGGAGAGAGAGCCCATGCTTTTGCCTGTAGAGTTGTACCAAGAGGCTGGTGTGGAGACAGTGGACCCCCCTGGCTCTGGGTTGTGGAATGTGCCATTGGGCACTGACTTGGTATCGGGCATGGGGGCCGCCTGGGTCAGGGCTACTGGCTGCTAGAGCACAAATGAATGCACCTTGGGGCCTGGCATCTGGCGGTCCCTGGAGTGCCTTCTGTGCGAGGCTGCAGGTGTGTGCCTGCAGCACCCCTGCGCTCTGCCCCACCCCAGCGCAGGCGCGGGGACCCATCCCTGCCACGGTCGTTCCGTTTCCTGGCTGTTCGTGCAGTTCCAAGCATAGCTGGGCCTGGGCCTCATCTTCCCAGCAGCAATGACAGCCTCTTCCCTCACTCCACAGCGGTGCCGGCCTGCGTGTGTGGGCCGTGCCAGGCTCACAGTGCGGCACTGAGGCCGCTCAGCAGGGCCAGGCAGCCACTGACCGGTTCCGAGCCGGTTCAGAGGTGGCTGCAGGGCCTGCGGCCTCCCAGTGCTTGGTGCACGCCACTGCGAGCGGAGCAGGGGGTGGGCTGGCCGGGAGGTGGGAGGGACGCCCAGCAGGAGCAGGTGTGTGGGCGGCACCTTTCTGACGGGGTGGTTCCAGGGAGCCATGGTCTGGTCCCAGCTTGGCCACCCGCATGCTTGGTGACTGGGCAAGTCCCTTTCTTCCTCTGGAAAATGGAGCCCCTTGCCAGGTGCCTGGGAGTGGGGGCTCCAGACTCAGCCCGCCCTGCTCCTCGCCACCAGGCTTCATGGTGCCTCCGAACCGTGCACTGTCCAGCACCTGTGCGCTGACCCCCTTCAGCCAGCTGCATGCAGGCGCCTGGCCACGCTCTCAGCCAGCCCAAGAGTGTGCACAGTGTGGCTTGGGGAGGTGATCCCCCTGGCCTGTCCTCAGGGGTCAGGGTGAGGGAGGTGCTACCTCAGGGCTCAGGCTGCCCACTGCCCTGGAGAAGGGAGCATCTTCTTGGGGTGCCCTCAGAGAGGGCAGCCAAGGCAGGAACTTTTCAGGATGGGAAAGAAATGGGCACCAGGCTTTGGCCAGAGGCTCCTCAGCCTGCGTCCACTCCAAGCCTCCCAGCCGCCCCTGAGGTGAGCATCCGGTCCAGGGTGACAGATGGGGAAATCAAGGCTCAGAGGAGGGGTGGGCAGCAGAGCTGGGACCTGAGTGGAGCTCTGTGTACCTTAGATGCTCCTCCGCCACGGTGAGCACCACAGCAGGGGACAGAGGCCGTAACAGTTTCCTGGGGCCGCCAGGACAAAGCACCGCAGACCAGACCTGGGGCTGAAAAGACAGAAGCTTCCTGTCTCCAGCTCTGGGGGCCGGAAGTCCAAGATCAAGGTGTGGGCGGGGCCGGGAGGGAGGAAGTTGCACGCCGCCGTCTTCTCCCTGTGACTTCACGTCGTCTTCCCTCTGTGCATGTCCTTCTCTGTGCCCAGATTTCCCCTTTTTATAAGGACACTGGTCATGTTGCTTAGGCCTGCCCTAATGACCTCACTATGACCTGGTCATCTCTGTAGCGACCCCATCTCCATTAGGGTCACACTTTGAGGTGCTAGGGCTCAGGACTTCAACAGATGAATCTTCAGGGGGCACACTTCAGCTCTTAACAGAAACTTGGGACGTAGGCCTTCTGCCTGGGGTGGGAGAGCAGGGGCCTGGCAAGAGGCTGCTCAGACGTGGCCCCGTCCCCTGGGGTGGGGCTCAGCAGCAGCTTGGCGGCACCCTGTGGGGGCAGGTCTGCCACGAGCCGTCTCCTTGGGAGTGTGCACCTGAGGTGTTGTCTTCCCGGAGGTGCGTATTGGGTGGCGGCCTGCAGCCGGCTCCCGGCAGCACTGGCAGTGCTTGGGCCTGTCCAGCATGGGCTGGTCACGTCCTCTGGGCACCCAGAGGCTCCGGGACCCCATCCCAGCGCTGACCACACTGACCCTCAGCCTGTCTCTGCACTGGGGCCTCTGGAGGGCAGGGGGCCTGGGTCATCTCTGTCCCCAGCTTTGTCCAACCCAGGGTCCCCCAGGACGTGGATTGACTGAGCATTGACCTGAACCCATGCCTTCACTCTCTTCTAGGAAAATCCAAGAGGAAGAGGGATTTACGGATAACCTGCGTGTCCAAGCCTCCTGTGCCCAACCCCACGTGAGTTGGCCTCAGTTTCTCCCCCAGCTCAGCCTGGAGAGGCCTCCTGAGGGGCAGGTGGAGGGAGCCAGCAGCGGCGCCTCCTGCGAGCTGGGCCTGCTGGGTGGCCATGGGGCTCGCAGACCCTGCGGTCGGCCCCGTGCCCTTCTCGCCGTCGCAGAGGCGGAAGGCGAGGCCCCGCCGTGTCCGTGTGACCGCATGGGTGCTCCGCAGTGGCGGAGATGGGGTGCCTTGGGGTGGGCCTCTGCCCCTGCTGGCGGGGGTCCTGGTCCGGGGAGGCTGCGGCTCTCTTGGAGGCTCACGGGGCCTGCTCTCTCCCTGCAGACCGCCCCGGAACCTGGACTCCCGGACCTTCATCACCATTGGAGACAGGGTTGGTGTGGGCTGCTCGTCTGGGCTGAGGCCTGCGTGTCTTCGAGCCTCAGTGTCTTCGTCTGACCCCCTTGGGGCCCCTGGGACGGCTGTGGGGGGTGGACAGAGCTGGGCTTTGGCGAGGAGCCTGCTCCCTGGGTGCCGGCCGTGTGGCCCTGGTACCCACTCTCCAGCCCTCCTGTCGGGAACGGGGCTGCCCCAGGGTCCTGCGAACCAGAGCTGGTCTGAAGTTTCTTGACCTCAGAGTTTGGGTCATGGGCCACGTGTGCCCACGTCACCCGTGGGAACAGCGTGTTGAACATGCACTCCTGGCTGTACCCTCAGGTACGCCGCTGCCTGGGACCCTGCATTTCACATGCACCTCCTGATGGCTTGGGCACCGGTGATGGAGATGCTGGCTCAGGGACTGTGCGTCCCCCACAGGACATGCCGAGGGTCTCCAGGCAGAGACTCCGCTCTGGGGGCCTCTCCTTGGCTGACAGCCCTTCCGAGGCTTATTTCCCCCCATGTTCGTCACTGTTTGCTGTCCTGTTCATCTACTTGCTTGTTCCTTATTATCTGTCTTTCACAAGAGAGAGTAGGTGGCCCACACTGCCCATCTGAGAGCAAGACCTTTGTTTTGTCATCTCTGCGTCCCCAGTGCCTGAAACAGGGACTCGCATGTGGCTGGTGCTCCATAAAGATTGGTGGAATGAATGACTGATTCTCAGCACCGCAGTGGGGTGGGCGAGGGGGTTCTCCCTGGGGCTCCTGCGCCACTGGGAACGTGCACAGGCCGTCTGATTTATGCCTCGCCACAGCCTTTGGGCATTTTTGATGGGAGGCTCAGAAAGGTGAAGTGACTTGCCCCAGGCCACACAGCAGAAAGTGGTTGGTATAAGACTTGGGGACAGATCTGACTGACTGGCCATCTTCTCTTTCTGCTGCCCCAGCTGTTTCCACTGGGCCAGGTGTGAGGGCTGGCTCCCAGCTTGGCCACCACCAACCCTCTCTCTTTTCTGTCCTCTAAGAACTTTGAGGTGGAGGCTGATGACCTGGTGACCATCTCGGAGCTGGGCCGAGGGGCCTATGGGGTGGTGGAGAAGGTGCGACATGCCCAGAGTGGCACCATCATGGCTGTGAAGGTGAGCAGAGCCCCCGCCCCAGCCCAACCCTGCCAAGGCACCTGGAGGCTGCCCGGAGGAGGCCTAGGGGCTGAGCCTGCCTGTGGGTACCCCTCAGAGCTCCTGGCCCTCAGAGAAGGGACAGGGAGGTACTCACCCCTGTCACGTGGCCCCTGAAGCACCGTCCTCTCCCCTACAGCGGATCCGGGACACCGTGAACTCGCAGGAGCAGAAGCGTCTGCTCATGGACTTGGATGTCAATATGCGCACGGTCGACTGCTTCTACACCGTCACCTTCTATGGGGCCCTTTTCAGAGAGGTGTGGTCCTGGTGGGAGGGTGGGAGGTGGGTGCTGGGCAGGGGACTGGCAGCTCAGGCTGCCCTCCACCTGCCTTCCATGCTCACACCTGCCCCGTCGGTCCAACCTGCAGCCCGGCATCACTCCCAGACCCTTGCTGAGTGCTCCCATGTGCCAGTGCTCACAGGTGTGAGTGACACCGAGGCCCTGCCTGCTTGTCACACCGCAGAGCCAGGTTCTGGAGAGCTCGGGCCAGGTGCCGGACCACTGGGCTCCCTTGCTTCCTGGCTGTCAGGACCCCGCTCTGTGCCATAGTTTCCTTGTTTGTGAGATGAGGCTAGTGATTGTACCTATTTCACAAAGTTGTCATGATGATGAAATGACGTGGCCCGGGGCCTGGCACTCTAGAGTGTGCTGCACGGCTCTGCCTGTGTGACCATGTGCTTCGCCGGCGTCCAGGCCAGTGGGGTGGGGCTCTGACCAGGGGCTGCCGTGAAGGTGGGTGGGGGTCCGATTCTGGTCTACCGGAAATACTGGATGTGGGGTGAGAGAGGGATTGAGAGCTAGGCCAGGGAGGGTGAAGGGTGGGCTTCTGCCGAGGACAGCGTGAAGGGCTGGGGTGGGGTGCCCACAGGGACCAGGAGTCTGGATTGGGTGCGCTGAGCTTGCGCTGGTGAGTCACTACCTAGAGTTCGGGGGTGAGCTCAGGGCTCCCCATGCCCGGCCTTGCTCCTCGAGCACCTGCGGGTCTCTGCGCTTGCTGGCTGCACTAGACCCAGTGGTGGGTCAGCACTTCATCATCCAGTCATCCGATTGGCTAAGCACCCGCATTGTGCTGGGCGCAGGATGTCTGTCCCTGTGCCACTGGGGGACAGACGCACGCCCAGGCCTCACCACATGCCAGCTCAGAGCTGCCAGAGATGCCCAGGGGCCTGCGGGTACCCCAAGATCGTGAGATGCTGCGCCCAGCCTTTTCGGAAGGTCTCCTGAAGGATGCGCAGGAGATGCTGGGGCGCTGGGGCGGGGGTGAGGGTTAGGGCACTGCAAGTGGAGGAGGGAACCATCTGCCAAGGTCAGATTTGGGACAAGCCATGTGTGCTGGGGGCTGTGGGGACTGAGGCAAGGAGGGGTCTGCAGGGCTGGGTCATGGAGCTCAGCTGGCGCGCCTGGTCCCTGAAGCCCCTGTTGGAGTGACACAATCAGGCTTGTTTTAGTCACTTCTCCCTAGAAACTTCACTGGAGTTAGGGACCAGCTGCAGGGGACTGGGGGAGACCAGAGGCGACAGAGCTGGGGGAGGCTGGCGTGTGGACCTGGCAGCACAGGCAGACCTGGCGGGTGGAGCAGCAGGCAGGTGGAGAGACTTTGGGAGGCAGAGTGGAGGAGTTGGCAGCTGAGTAAGTGCCTGCGGGCTGAGGGGGGCGGGCTGGCGCTGGCACAGGGCAGACTGTCCCGTCACAGGAGTAGCCCTGGCGGGCCCGGGCTGACCTCCAGTGTTCACCCCAGGGAGATGTGTGGATCTGCATGGAGCTCATGGACACGTCCCTGGACAAGTTCTACCGGAAGGTGCTCGAAAAGAACATGACGATTCCAGAGGACATTCTGGGGGAGATCGCCGTGTCTGTGAGTGGCCTCAGGCCCCCGCGGGGTTGGGGGTTCAACATACACAGCCAGAGGCCCCGGCCCTGTTGCGGCAGGCGCAGAGCCTGGCTGGGCGGTGTGTCTTGGGTGGAGAGCTGTGGCCCTGAGCCTGCACCTGCCCCCTGGAGGCCCAGCTCCCACCCGGGACCACAGCCTTCTTGCTGCGGAGACCCCGTAGCCTGGGGCTCCCAGAGCCGCTCAGATTTAGCAATTCCCAGAGCTCCAGGTCTGTGTGTGTAAGTCCTGAGCTTCTGAGGCCATTTTGAAAAGGGACTTAGCATTTCCAACTTCCTCCTACTGAAACGCCCTGAGGAGCTCACCGAGGTGCAAGCTAAGTCGGGAGAAAGAGAGGTCCGTCCAAATATTTGCCTTTTGAGGTTGAATGTTCCTAGAAGAGGGCAGCAACCCTGGGCTTGAGCATCCCGGCAGTCAAAGGAAAAAGGGAAACGGAATCAGCCGTACTGGGGTTCCCAGTCCTTACTGCCCTGGGGGCGCTTCACACATCCTCCACCTGGGTAGTGAGTCAGACTCTGTGGGGTAGTTCCTGAGGGGAATGGCTCCAAGCACGTAGGCCACTGGCCCTGCTGAGGCAGAGGAGAGGAGGCAGGGAGCCTGCAGAGGGCTGGGTTCTACACAGAGCCCAGCAGGGGGTGGGGACGGCTGCCCAGGGGGTCACAGGTCTCCATTCTGCAGGGTGTCGGGTAGCTCATTTCTCTAGTAAAGGCTCGGCCCGAGACCCTGGCCGCTCAGAGCGGAGCAGGAGGCCGGTGGTCTGTACCCAGAATGCCAGGACAGCGGGGCCAGTGTTGGGGTGCGCACAGGAGCCTGGGGTAGTGAGGGGCTGGGCGTGGATGTGGGAGAGGGGACAGACGGGCTCGGGGGTAGGCTTATGGCTGTCATCGTTGACGCAGCCGGAGTCACGTCAGTCCTGTCTCTCTCTTGTCCCTCTCCCGAATGCCAGATCGTGAGGGCGCTGGAGCACCTGCACAGCAAGCTGTCCGTGATCCACAGAGGTCAGTACCCGGCTGCCGGCCAGGGAGAGCGGCCCGCAGGCTCCTCACAGACACGGTTTCGCCCAGGCCTGCGAGGCACGTGGGCCTCTCCCTGTTTCCAGGAGGAGCCAGCTGAGGCTTGAGGGGTGATGGATGCTGATGTGCCTGTTGGGGTTGGGAGCCGAGCCTGCTTCCCAGTCCAGGCCGCTCTCCAGTTCTCCAAGCCATTTTCCTCAGCCCGCCACCTCCCTTAGAGTTGCTGGTACTCAGAGCAAGGACCACACGGACCTTGCTCTGGGGAGGCTGGCTGGTTTTGCTTTGACCTGTTGTCTGTGGGTCGTGAAGCATCCACACCGGAGTTAGCACTCGCTGGGTCTGACCGGAGTTCACACTGGGCAGCTCCCGCTGTGTCGAGATGCAGCGTTTCCCCCTCCACCCCATCCCAGAATATTCTTTCAGCCCTTCCTGGTCAGTCCCTGCCCTCACATCCCCCACACCCCGGCCCAGCCCCACCCGCAGGTCATCACTGTTGGGATTTGAGCATGGAACATTCCAGTGCTGTTTCTGCATATGTCTGTCCTCATGCGCGTCTCCGTAGCCCATAGGTGGGGTGATGTGTTGTGGGTGTGCCATTGCTGGAGGAACCCAGCCGTTCACCTGAGCCGCTCCATGTTGACCCGAGTCGTGAGGCGGCTCATCACGCAGGCCGGCCTCCTGTGTCCGAGCTGCTGCCCTGAGCCACCTGGCCGACCTGCCGACCTTGGCGTGGACGTTTGCCTGGTTTCTTGGTTCTCACCCCGTCAGTGTCCCTCTGGCCCAGGAGGACCCCAGAGCCAGAGGTGGTGCGGGGAAGCAGAGGCCAAGGCCTGGCTGTGAGGCTGCGTGGCTGGGGCGAGGCTCTGCCTCCTGACTGCGTGTCCGGAGTACTGACACAGAGGTGGGGCGCGTCCTGGCTGCGCCACCAGCTGTGTGACCCTGGGCTGGGGCAGTGCCTCTCGGAGCTTCAGTCCTTCATCTGCTGCCTGGGCCCCAGCAGCATCTTCTCCAGGGCGGCTGGGGCATAGAACGAGCCTCCAGTCGAGCACCACAACCCGGAGCTGAGAAAGGTGTCTTCTGTCCCTGGCAGACGTGAAGCCATCCAACGTCCTCATCAACAAGGAGGGCCACGTCAAGATGTGTGACTTTGGGATCAGTGGCTACTTGGTGGATTCTGTGGCCAAGACAATGGATGCCGGCTGCAAGCCCTACATGGCTGTGAGTGGTCCCTGCGCCACCCTGAGTCCTGGGCCGTGGCTGAGGTTCAGGAGAGGACACACCTGGGAGAAAACTGCCAGGTCTCACCCTCTCTGGCCACGTCCTCTGTCCATCGCCTCCCCTAGGCTCCGTATTTCCTGCCACAGAGGAGGCAACCTGCCACCCAGCCTGCCCAGGCAGCTCCTTTCTACCCCTGGTATTAACTGTGCCCCCCAAGTGCCCATTTTGGATGATAAGTTTCGCAGACACCCACATAGAGGCAGCTCATGGGGTCTGTGCAGTCCTGCCCCTCCCCCAGTGTCCTGAATGTGGGACACCCCCCTCCCCCGGGGGTAGCTGGGAGGCAAGACTTGGGCCTTCACTGCAAGACCCTGGCCCTCACTGGCCTTGGTTTTCTCCTCTTTTGCTTGGGGAGCTGAGACAGGATGAGCACTGACCCCTCAATTTGGGATGGGAGGTTAACTTAGCTGAGGGAGCCTTGGGCGGCCCCCAGGCTAGCCCCTGCCCCTGGGCTGGGAGCTCACACCTCACTGGCCCTCTTGCAGCCCGAGAGAATCAACCCGGAGCTAAACCAGAAGGGCTACAATGTCAAGTCGGACGTCTGGAGCCTCGGCATCACCATGGTACCGTGTGGCTTGCCCGGCGGGCAGGGGCGGGCGTGGGCGCGGGCCAGGGTTGTGCCCAGTCTGAGCTTTTGGGAGGCCCGTGACATAGTTCAGGCCTTGGACAAAAGCATCAGCTTCAAAGCCCGAGAAGGAATTGTGCCATCAAAGGCGACACTGTCCTTAGGGAGTGTCTGCAGGCAGCATGCCCTCCCTGGCAGTGAGGTGTGCCCTTCACCATAGTTCTTGATGTCGGGGGTAACTTGTCCATTGCACTTTCCCCGGAGCTCCTGGTATGCATGTCGTTTCAAAAGCAAAATGGTAAAAATCTTTAAAGAATCGTTTCTCTGTGAGGAGTATGTTGCCTGTGGGGTCCTGGTGTGTTTCCATGGGCGTGGTAGGATGGGTGGGGTGGGTGGGCTCTCAGTCCTGGCCTGTGGGGCTTGGGTCGGGTGGGGCGGATGCCCAGCCCTCAGCTGGGCTGGGGGCTGCATCTGAGGTCCAGGGGCAGGCCTGGGCCCATGCACCTCGTGTTCTTTCTAGAGCTGCCCGGGAGAACCCCCGCCCTGCCCGAGTCAGGGCTCAGCTCAGGTGTGGGTCGAGGGTAAGTTAGTTATTTAGAAAGGCCGTTCTGGCATCCACAAAGAGAACGGGCTGGGAGGACAGCAACGATGACGGTGTGAAGCCCCCGCCAGTGCTAGGGGGCTTGGCCTGAGACCTGGATGCACAGAGAAACGGGGCCAGCCTGAGTGTCGTCGTCCCCCCGCCCCCATCCCAGCCTCCAGGGTTCCCTGGAGTGTCCAGGTGTGAGTTTGTCCCTGACGTTTCCTGGTGTCAGCACGCTCCCTGCCCCATCCCTCTGGCTTCCTCGTGTTGGGGCAGGGAGTGGTCAGTCACCAAACCAGTCAGTGAAGTGTGTGAGGTGGAGCGCTGTGGAGAGGAGCAGGGGGGCTGGGACTCTGGGGTGGTGGGGACAGCACTGCGAGCTCTGAGGAGGCAAGGGGGCACGAGGGTGTGGGGCGAGGCCCTGAGGCGGGCTGGGGTGGGTCCAGGGGAGGTCAGGGAATGGGTGGCAGTGGGAGTTCAGGGTCGACGTGAGAGTTCTGGGTGTACTGATATTGTGATTATTATTATCGTGGTCCTGTCACCGTCATATGACCAACTTGGTGAGCTGTGTCTGTACACAGAGATGGGGAAGGGACAGAATCACAAGCATTTTGTAGGAGACGTGGAATTGGGTGATACCGTCCATTTTCCTTAATACTGCCGACAGCGGGGCCAGCCCGTGCGCAGCGGTTAAGTTCGCACGTTCCGCTTTGGTGGCCCGAGGTTCACAAGTTCGTATCCCAGGTGTGGACCTATGCACCGCTCGTCAAGCCATGCTGTGGCAGGCGTCCCACATATAAAGTAGAGGAAGATAGGCACAGATGTTAGCTCAGGGCCAGTCTTCCTCAGCAAAAAGAGGAGGATTGGCAGCAGATGTTAGTTCAGGGCTAATCTTCCTCAAAAAAAAAAAAATACTGCCGACACGTTATTTTCAATTAAAGTTTTTTTCTTTAAAGTGGAGAGGAATATCCAAAGTCTAAAGGTGGATACTATCCCTGCAGATAAGAGTTTTCCAACTCCTGAGTTAAAAAATAACAAGAGCAAGTGCTTGCTGTATTTACAGACTCTCCAGAGCTGGTGGGTGCCAGAGACCATGCTCACGACCACCCCACACATACGCTGCCCCTTCTCCCGCCTCTGTCTGTTCATCCGTCCTCATTCCTGGGGACCTTCTGCTGTCTCCAGTGGAAGGTGGACAAGTGTGTGCTCAGTGCACCTTTCAGTTGCCATGTGCTGTGTGACAGATGGCTCCAGAACCTAGGACTGAAACCAAAGACTGTATTATTTCTCACGTTTCTGCCTTCTGGGCTGGCTTCCACAAGGGGAGTGCTCTTGAGTGCTCGCTCGGGAGTGGCCCCGCCCCTCTTCTGCCTCATTGTGTTGGTCAAAGCAAGTCACAGGCCCACCCAGGTTCCAGGGGAGATAGACTGTGCAGTGGGCGGGGCCTGGCAGGCGCCCTGGGGGATCAGCTGCCTGGGGCAGGTTAGGTTTTCCCCACAAGTTGGACAAGTAACAGAAACACTCCGGGAACCCACAGAGGAGACATCAGAGGGAGCAACAGCTCACGCGGCTGTGCACACACAGGCACACAGCCCTTCCCGCGTCGTCAGCTGCCACCGTTAGGTGTTTCCTTCTAGATGTTTGGGCTCTTTTCAAAAAACATACAGAGTTTTTATTTTGCTTTTTCCTCCTAGCATCATGGCATTCCTCTTTCTCTGGGCTGTTGTAAAGCCCTGCAGGCCTTTCTTCCTAAGACTCCACAGCCAGTGCCACCAGCCCTGGATACAGCAGGCCACCAGCTGCCCATGTGTTCTGTCCTTTGGAGATTGCAGTCATCCTGGGGACGACCAGTGAGGTGCTGTGTGCCAGGCACGCCCTTGGTGGTCTCCCTCCGGTCCTCATGGAGCCCACCCTGAGGTGCTCTGGGGGTACCCGAGTGCAGCCACTGGCTGGAAAGTGGAAAGGGCCTCAGTGGAGACACGGGTGGTGCCTGGAAGGCTCTGCCCTCACGTGGCCTCAAGGCTACGGCCACGCCCGCTGCTCTGTGGCAGGCTGGCCCCTGGTACCGGACACTTAGGCTGCTTCTCACATCTGCTGTCACAGGTGACACCACATTGTGCAGCTTCGTGCTCAGATGCTTTTTTTGTTTTTTTCATTTTTTGAGCTTTTTAGAAAAAATTACCAGGAAAGGGATTCCTCTGTCAGGGTTTGGAGACTTTTTTGTTTTCCTGATCATAAACTCAGGCAGGCCGCTGGGGCACTCCCTTCTGCTTGTTGGCATCAGTGAAAATTCTCAGAGGAAGCCTGGGCCTGTCCCGTGAAGGGACACAGACAAGGCCCCGTCCTGCGTGGTGTCCTCTGTCTGGGGCTTGCGCCTCGCTGGAGAGGCGCCTTCAGCTGTGTGGGAAGGCCCTTCCTGGCGTGGTGCTTAGTGATCTGTTCAGGTGCCACTTGCCCACATGAAGTGCTTGTTTGAGTCGAGGCCTCCATGGTGCCCATGGCCGGCAGCGAGGAGCCTCTGCGCTGTTCCAGGCAGGGCCCAGGCAGACCTCATGTGTCCTTTCACCTCGGCGTCAGCTGCTCCGACAAATGGCAGCAGACACCAGGACACTCCGGAGATGCCGGGCACAGCGGGGCTGTGCTAAATAGCGGCCTGCTGCCCATCCAGGTCCTTGCTGCTGCCTTGCGGGAAGGGGCCCAGGGTTGCCAGCTCTGATTTTTCCAGATTAGCTGGAACCTGGGTTTCTATGTAAAATCTTCCAAATTCAGATTGTTTGAAAACCTGACCATGGCAGGTCTTTCTGCCAGCTGGGTCAGAGGAACTAACTGCTTGTGTTCCGCTGGCTTTCATCTTTGGTCTGATGTCACCTGTCAGCCCTTTGACCTGCCTCACTGCTCAGCCCCTGGCATCTGACCAGTGCCACTGTCCCCACTGCAGATCGAGATGGCCATTCTACGTTTTCCTTATGAGTCCTGGGGGACCCCCTTCCAGCAGCTGAAGCAGGTGGTGGAGGAGCCGTCCCCCCAGCTCCCAGCTGACCGTTTCTCCCCCGAGTTTGTGGACTTCACTGCACAGTGGTGAGTCTCCAGCCCTCCCCGAGCCCCAGTCAGCACTCCCTCCTGCCCCGGCCAGATCCCCCGTCTGCCCTGGGGCTGGTCCCCTTCTCCTTTAGCAAATAAACCCAAACAGCATAGCATCACAATATGCACGGCAGAAATAGAGCACAAGGAGAACTGACAAACTGTGGTCCTTGGGGAGGTTTTAATATAGTCTTTCTCGAAATGGACAGAGCAGGTGGACTGAAAAAGAAAACAAAAAGAGGATTTGAATAGCATAAACAAATTTGCTTTTATTGATGTTTAGAACTTTGTGCCAAATTAAAGAATGCTCACGGGAGCCTTATGAAAATTGTGTTTGAGATTACAAAGCAAATAGGGAAAAAGGAAAAAAGGCAAAGTCATGTTCTCTGTGCATAATTAAATAAAACAAGAAGTCTGTGACCAAAGAGGGAAAAGCTTCATGGAAATTCATAGTAAATTCTTCTAAATAACTTGTGGGTTATGGGAAAGATTTGAAATATAACATTACAATCTATTTAGCAGTGAAAATGAGAACAGAACATATCGACATCTCTGTTGTGGGCAAAGAGGTACTCAGAGGAAAATTTGTAGCCTTTGTTTTTTTTACTGGAAGATAAGAAAGACTGAAAACAGATGAGCCTGGCAAACAGGGTCATTGGTCCCCTCGACCCCTTCGGCTGGGGCCTCCCTCCCCCGAGCAGTTGCCCCTTTGGTGTGACTGGTGACTGCAGTGTTTGGTGTCATTTGGTATTGGGATCTTTGGGAGTTCCCCCAATCATGACAGAGATTAGAGAGCCTACAACCCGAGAGCAAAGCAGCTTGGCCCAGGCCTCTGTCGTGTGCACCCACAGACCCACTCCACCCTCGGGAGCTCCCCAGAACAGTCCCGCCCTTCTTCCCTGAGCCCCAGGAGCACTTAGTCCCCTCACTGCCCAGTCAGGGGTGAGGGCTGGACTCACCTCCTCGGTGCCGGCCCGGCCCACCTGCCCTGTTCTCTCCTAGCCTGAGGAAGAACCCCGCAGAGCGCATGAGCTACCTGGAGCTAATGGTGAGTGTGGGCGGGAACAGAGGCTGGGTGGGGCTCTCCGGGAGGGGGCTGCATCCCCTTGCACAGAGGTGGGCAGCACCTCTGGCCGGCCCCTGCATTAGTCAGTCTTGGAGCTAGGGCAGGCGTTCATCCAGGCCAGGCCCTGTGGAGTGGGGCTCAGGCAGTGCTGGGGTGGGTGGTGCAGAGGGTGGGAGTGGCGAGAAGGTGCACCATTTTATCCAAAGACATCAGGGAAGGCTTCACAGAGGAGGTGCCATTTGAGCGGAGCCTGGAAGGATGAATAAGGATTTACCCGCTGATGGAGAGGGTGGGGAAGGCATTCCAAGCAGAAGGCCCATCGTGGTCAGAGGCCTGGCATGTGTGGGGAAAAGTGAGTTTAGCGTGGCCAGAAGATGGTTGGAGGAGGGCTGAGGAGGAAGCCATCAGCGCTGTCCCTAGCAGGGAGGACTTCCTGGGGGCAGAGCTCCTAGAGGGATGAGTAGGAGTTCGCCAGGCAGGAGGAGCATGCAGGGGCTGGGGCTAATTTGAGGGTGTGGGGGCACTTCTGCCTCACTCTTCTCCTGTCCCCTACTAGGAGCACCCTTTCTTCACCTTGCACAAAACCAAGAAGACGGACATTGCTGCGTTTGTGAAGGAGATCCTGGGGGAGGACTCGTAGGGCCGGCGCCTCTGGGGGAGCAGCGCTGGTCCGCACCCATAAGCTGCTGCCGTCCTGGCCGGGGCGCTCCAGGGGGCACGGAGGGGCTGCTCCCACTGGGCTTGGCAACAGGCCATTGGTCCCAAGTGCCAAAGAACGCGGCCACTGGGGTCCCCAGGTGGGCCCCACCAGTGCCTCTGCCTGTGCTGCTCCAAGGACCCCAAGTCTCCAGCCCCCAAGACCCTGGACTTGGAGGGGCCTGGATGCCCCCCGCCAGATGCTGCTGCCCCTCAGAGAGAAGGCAGCTGTGCCTGTGTGCAGGCCGCTGCCCCAGCCCAGGCCTGGATGCCACCCAAGTTGTATATTTTTTTATCTCTTGACTGAATGGACTTTGCACACTCTGGCCCAGGGTGGCCACACCTCGGTCCCAGCATCAGTGGGGGGGACGCACAGGTGGATGAGCCACGTGAATCCCTCTGAGCCCCCACAGGGAGATGCCAGAGCCTCCTGAGGCCCCCCCCAGCACTGGCAGACGGGGCCCTAAGGCCACTTGGGTCGCCTCCCCGGGCCTGCCACCTCCAGGGTGTCGTTTCACTTTTTTTTAATTTATCCTCTTGAGTTTTTCTCCTGCTTTGTGGGTTTGACTTGTGTTCCTCGCATGGTGTGGAGCCGATCCCTGTTCTGCCACCCCCTGGGGACCAGCAGGCCGAGACCCGCCCTCTGCTCTGGCTGTGGTCTCGGGACGGGCCCAAGTCCCTGCTCAGAGAGGTGCTAGAGGAACCATCCAGCTCATTCTTGGGGACCGGCTCCACAGGGGCTGTGGATTTGCTTTCGGTGTTGTTTAAAAAAAAAAAAAGAAAATATATTTTTTTGAAGAAAGGTCTGCCCATCCTGGGTCCTATCCCTAATGGCTTAGGGCAGTTATCTGATTGCTGTTTTAATTAAAAACAAAACAAAACAAAGTGGCACAAAAGGTTCTGTGAGACTCTGTATCATGAGGGCAAGCCCCACTCCTCGGGGAAGGTCTGTGGCCCTAGAAGGACCCCTGTCCCAGGGCCAGGGCAGTGTGGTAGGGAGAGCAGGGGCCTGCCCACTAAGCCTTCATCCATGAGGACACCAGAGTTCCCAGGGGGCTGTGAGCAGGCCCCAGGCCCTGTGCCAGGTGCTGGACAGAGCAGCAGGCCCAGGCTGCTGGCAGGGCTGCTGTCCCACTGTCATTGAGGATTCACTGCCAGATGCACAGGGCGCCGAGCACATGCCAGGTGCTGCACCCAGGGCTGGCACTGTCACCTCGTTGAGAAGACAGGCCCAGAGAGCTGAAGTCACTTGTCCAGAGACACAAAACTTGTACGATGGAGAAACTGAGGCTTGGGACGGGGAGCAGCCTCCTGCGAGAGGGCTCTGAGGGGCGGGAGAGCAGCTAGAGGAAGGCCTGCGTGCCAGCGTCCAGTGTGGATCTGTGATCCTTGAGGCCTGGGCTGCGGCAGCAACCTTCCTCCGTCAGAACGGAGTTTATAGTGTTTGCTCCCGTGAGCAGAACTCTACTGCTTCAGGCATAGCTGCATCCAGGGCCCCGGTTAATATCCCAAAGCACCTGAGCTCAGTTTCCCACTTCCTTCCTGACGAGGCAGGAGCCAGTAACGCCTGCAAACTCAGCCGCCCCAGTCCTAGGGCTCTTATTGGCTGGGGAGGAGTCACGTGCTCATCCGCAAGCCAATCACAGGCCAGGAGGGGTAAACCTGGGCTAGGGGCGGCACAGGCCCGACGGTCTGGGAGCGGCCCGAGTCCTCGAGCGGAGCCGGGCGTGTTCCCCGGCGGCCGCCGCCCCCCGCAGCCCGAGGGCTGGACAGGCCTCGGCCGTCCGCGTCCCTGGCGCAGCGCTCGGCCCGCCGCGCTCCCACGTGGGGGCCGCGCTCGCCTGCGGCCTTTGCTTGACCGTGCCCTCCGCCGGAGCCCCCGCCGCAGGCCTGCGCTCCTTGCCGCCCGCGGGGCCCGCCAGCGCGCCACCTTCATCTGGGCGCACGCGACGAGCCGCTGTCGCGTCCCCGGTGCCGACACCACGGACGCTCGGCTAACCTGGGTCGAACGGACGCGCGAGTCCCGCAGCCCTGAGTGCGCGTGCGCGCACGGCCCCCCGCGCGCAGGGCCGGCGGACCGAGTCCCGGGGCGCGGCCGCGGTCCTTCCCGCTGCGGCCGCCAGGAGGCGGCGGAGCCCTGACTGCGGCCCCGAGTCTCGGGAGCCCGGCCTCCCCGCGCTCGCCGTCCTGGGCGGGGCGGGGCCTCGGGGCGCCCGCCGCCTGCGCCCCGGCTCCGCCCCTGCGCCTGCCGCCGCCCGCCCGCCGCTGTGCGCCCACCCCGCCCTCCGCGCGGTGGCCGGCCGGGAGCCCTGGGGCGGAGGGAGGGCGGCCCCGCGGGAGGCCTGACTCATCCACGGGTTCTCCGGTGTGCAGCCTGTCTGCGCTGGCAAAGCACTCTACAGTTTACAAAGGACTTTGTAGTGTGCAAAGCTTGGTGTTGTTTACAAAACAGTTTACAAAGGAATTTACAGCTTGCAAAGCCTATAGGACTACAAAGCACTTTATAGTTTACCAAGTAGTTGACAGTTGCCAAGCACTGGCCGGATTAGAACGCACTTTACAGTCTGCAGGTTCGTCTACAATTAGTGCCGACATCATTCTTTCCAGCTTCGGCTGCTATTTATGAGACCCGTCAGCGTTTACAAAGCGTGTCCGGGCATCCAGCGGGGGGAGCCAGTGTACGGATGGATCACTTTGACATTTACAAAGTACATGCGCAGTGCCCAGGCCCTGGACAGTTTCTATAGCCCAGGACCTCAGGGAAGGCTCCCCACCCCGAGTGGCAGGGCCCCTCTTCCCTGTCCCCTGCGAGGCTGTAAGGCACAGGCACTGGACCCGGCCCCTTTGCTGGGGCTGGTTGTTTCCGGTTCCCTGCAGGCAGCAGGGTCTGGGCAGGCCCCTATCCCAGGCCTGGGGCCAGCCAGGCAGCATCACAGACGCGGCCTTCCGGCCTAGTGAGAGCGGGAAGCAGCCACGGAGGGAGGAGCTGGGGGCAAATTCCCTTCTGGAGGCCAGGGAAGGCTGCCTCCCTTGTTAAATAGCAGCTCAGTCTCCTCTCCTCAGAAGCCTGCTGTGGCTCCCACTTACCCTAGTCCAAGCCTCTCAGTGTCGCACAGTACCCTCCTAGCCTTCGTCTGCCACTACTCTCCCACTTGCTCCCTGAGCTTCAGCCACACGGTGCTCAAAGACACCAAGCCCGGACCCCCTCAGGGCCTTTGCAGTGGCTGTCTTCTCTGCCCAGAATGCTCTCCAAGACGTCCTCCTGGCTGGCTCAGGTGTCTCTGCTTGGATGCCACCTCCTCACAGAGACGACCCTGACCACCCTGTCGCTCCAGCCCTCACCCTGCCGCGTTTTCTTCATTTTTATTTATATTCTTATCCACTGACTGCATCCCCCACCAGACTGGGAGCTCTTCCAGGGCCGGGATGGGTCTGTCTTGCTCAGAGCTTGGCACTGGGGGGTCTGACAATGACAGAGGAAATGGCAGGTGCAGGGAAGCTGCCCCCCAGCCCGAAGGCTGGCCCAAGAACCAAGGCAGTGGGGCCTAGGGAGCCGGGCCCTGCCACAACTGTGCCCAGGTTTGGGCCGAGGGAGGGGAGGAGCTGTAGTTCTATTTACTCTGGGGCATCCGTCCTGGGAGGCTTCCTAGGGGCAAAGCACCCCCTCATTGTACTGACTGGGGACTCTGTGCCTCAGAGAAGGAAAGCAATGAGCTCCCGGCCACACAGCAAGCAGCACTGAAGCTGGGGGCTGAATGCCCACCTTGGGGTCTCCCCGACGTCAGCCGCCTCACTCCGCGTCTGAGGACAGGGCTCGCGGTGTTGCTGTGGACCTGAGCACAGCAGCCCCAGGAGCTGCCATGAAGGTCGATGTCCCCTGCGGCCAGTGTGTGTTAAGCCCGGCCGGGTAACCCTGGCCCTGGGAAGGGGGAAGGGACCAGCAAGTGGCTCCCACCATCGCTTTATTTTGGGTTGTGTCCCTGGCTGCTCCGAGGGCAGGGGTGGTGACTGAGCAGCCCGGCTGGCGTCTCCTCTCCCAGCAGGGGTTTAACAGCATCCGGCCCAGATCCGGCCCAGCCTCACCCCCTGGGGCCGTGGCCTCTGTTTGCACCCGCCCCTATGGGGAGCTCGTGCCTGTTCAGACGTGCTTCCTGGAGGGGCCAGAGGTTCCCCTGGCCCCGTTCCGCTCTCGAGGTCTGTGCCGTGAGGGCCTCGCGTATACACGCTGGCCCTCTCTGAACGCTCGCTTCTCTGCCTCTGTGGGAGCCTGTGCACATCCTCTGGGAGCGAGGCGGGAGGGTCTATATATACACCAGCTGTGCTATGTTTATCTTCTCGGCGTTCGTCCTCACACCCAGCCGGGCACTTCTCCTGGAGGCCGTAAAGATTCGGCTAGGGTCCCACCCTCCCCAAGGCCCCCAGACACTGAGCCCAGAGACCCAGGAGTCCTGCCTGCCCTCTACCCCTGGCCCTAGCTCCGCCCCACCCTGAGGGAGCTACCTGCCTCGCCAGGTTGGGCTGCTCTGCTGCTGTCCTGGGCTGGCCTCTTGGTGGGACTCATGGGAGGAGGCTTGGAGGCAGAGCTGTGATCTCCGGGTGGGAATGCACCAGCTCAGGAAGTTCTTCCCTTCCTGGCTCCCAAACCTTCTATGGCTCCCACTGTCCAGGGATCCAGGGAAAGGAGGCCCAATGTGGGTTCTCCGTAGCAGAGCGTTGTCTGGATTGCTCTCTGCAGGGCTGGGCCCATGGAAGGTGTTACCTGAGCACCTACTGTGTGCCAGGCAGCACTCTAGAAAGGGAGCTTCAGCAGGACAGAGACAGAGCTGGCTGGCCCCAGCATGCTTGGCGAGGGTGGTGGGGACCGGGCTGAGCGCGGCCTAGCCACGTCCCCCACGATTGCTCCCTCAGGAGAGACCGCGAGTCAGATCCCAGTTGACTAAGTCATGTAAATTAATTAAACTTAATTGCAATTAAGTAATTAAATTTGATTAAGTGAACTACTTAAATTTATTTTCTCCCCACTGAGAGAAACAATACTAAGGAATAAGATTTTGTCACGTAGGGCCACAAATGATTGTAACTCCTAAGTTTTTTCTCTCTCTCAAGAACCAGCTTTAGCCTCGCTTGAAAATGTGTGACTGACAGGGTTGTAACCTGTGCTCAGGGGGCACTTGAGAGGGGGCCCCTTACTGAGTGGGTCATGGCAGACAGCCCACACCCTTAGAAGACTCCATGTAAGGGGAGCAGAGGGGGGCGGGGGGTGGGTGGGTGAGGAGTGGAGAGAGCCTGCCAGAAACAGCCTGTGCAAAGGCCCTGAGGTGGGAGAGCACTTAGTGCCACTGAAAAGACTCAGGGCTGGAAGTGTGCCACGTGGGCCCTGCAGCTGTGGCAGAGACTCTAGACTTTATGAGGGCAGCCCCCGGAGGACCTAAGCAGGGGACAGAGGGGTCGGGCTCACATGAGGAACAATAGGAACGATGGGGCTGACTTGCCGACACGTCCTTGTCTCTGCCCACCCCATGGCTTTTTGCCTTTGCAGCCCTGCTCCAGGCGCCACTCGTATAAAGGTTTATCCACACCGTACCCCCAGCTCATGGGACAGACAGCCCTGACTTGACTCTGTCACTCTGGGCTGTGTGATCTGAAGATGTCCCAGCACCTCTCTGAGACTCAGTTTCCTCATTTGCAGACTGGTAGGACTAACACTGATCTTGGAGGATGGCCGGTGGTTCCAATGAAGCCCCGGGGGGCACAAAGGCGTGGCACAGGCCTGGCACCCAGTGGGTGCTCAGTTAACAAGCCTGCGCCTCTGCTTCCTGCCTCCACTGGCCCCTCTCGGGCTTCTCCAGGCCCTCAGGGTGAGTGATGCGCACCAGGCACTGTGTCCCTCT